GGTGCGGAGCGGCCAGGGGTCCCGTCGGACCCTGAGCCATGGCCGCGGGCGACGCGACTCTGCCGGTGACACATCCGTGTCCGATGTTCTCTGCAGGGCGGAGAAGGAGTGGGGCGACGGGATCCGGGGGCTCTCGCTGAGCGCTGCCAGCTACGCGCTGCTGCGCCTGGAGGAGGGGCCCCCCCACACCAAGAACTGGAGGTGAGACCACGGTGTGCGGTGGCGGGGAGGCCGGGGCGCGACGGGTCTGGCACGGCTCTCACTGCCCCCCAGGGACACTGGGGACACGGGCCATGGGGGTGCAGGGGGCCGCAGTGCTTTTAGGAGGCCGCGGTGCAGGGCACCGGGGTGCAGGGGAGCGGTGCTGGGTGGGCCCGGGTGCTGGGGCTGCGGGCTCGGGGTGCAGGCGCAGGGCGACCCCGAACACGGGCCCTTCCTTGCAGGCCGCAGCTGCTGGTGCTGGTGCGTCCAGACCAGGAGCAGAACGTGGTGCACCCGCAGCTCCTGTCCTTCACCTCGCAGCTCAAGGCTGGCAAAGGCCTCACCATTGTGGCCTCCGTGCTGGAAGGGACCTTCCTGGACAACCACCCGCAGGCGCAGCGGGCCGAGGAGGTGAGCACCCCCTGCAGCCCTGCGGCCGCCAGCTCCCCGTTTTCCTATGTCCACCCCCGCGGCTTTGTGGCCACCACCGCGGCTTTTGGTGGAGCTGCAGCGGTCGGGCGGGCGCGGAGCGTCGCGGCGCTACCGGAGCGCAGCCCCCCCGGCCCAGGCTCAGCCACGCGGCACATTAATGAGATTAGGCGCTCACGAGCAAACAGCCGCTCTCCCCTCAGACACGGTATAATTTCTCAGTGTAAATAACTCTAATTGCTGCCCTGCACCATCACAGCCCTGGCACCGGGGAACCTCACGCTTGGCGCAGCCACGCGCCAGCTCTGCTCGCAGCCCTGCCGCGTCTGCCCTGGCCCGGAGCTGCTGGCATTGCACAGCCTGCACCCCCCTGTCCTGAACCCCTGCACCCACATCCCGCAGCCTGCGCCTGCACTGCACGGCCTGTGCCCTGCAAACACCTGCAGCCTGTACCCCTCATCCCGCACCCCACAACCTCCCTGCACCCACAGCCTGCACCCACCACCTCCTCACATCCCATAGCCTTCACCCTTCATCCTGTGCCCGATAACCACCCTGCACCCATGGCCTGCACCTCACCATCCCCCCACATCCCCCCACCAGTGCACCCACATCCAGCACCCGGCACCCCACGTGCAGCCCCATGCACCCAGCACCTGGCCCGGTGGCGTCTCCGGCGGGCACCACGCCAGGGCTGGTGTCCTGCCGCCACCGACTGTCCCCTCTCTCCCGCTGCCAGTCCATCCGCCGGCTGATGGAGGCGGAGAAGGTGAAGGGCTTCTGCCAGGTGGTGATCTCCTCCAACCTGCGCGACGGCATGTCCCACCTCATCCAGTCCAGCGGGCTGGGCGGGCTGCAGCACAACACGGTGCTGGTGGGCTGGCCCCGCAGCTGGCGCCAGAAGGAGGACCACCAGACCTGGAGGAACTTCATCGGTAGGGAGCGGGCCGGGCGCGCGCGGGCCCCGGGCCGTGCTGGGCCGGCCCCGCCGACACGGCCCCTTCCCCTTGCAGAGCTGGTGCGGGAGACCACGGCCGGGCACCTGGCCCTGCTGGTGGCCAAGAACGTCGCCATGTTCCCGGGCAACCAGGAGCGCTTCTCCGAGGGCCACATCGACGTCTGGTGGATCGTCCATGACGGGGGGATGCTCATGCTGCTGCCCTTCCTCCTGCGGCACCACAAGGTAGTGCTGGCGCTGCGGGCTGGCACCGGGGTCTGGGGGACGGGATGGACCCCGCTGTGCCCACACGTCCCTCCCCGCAGGTCTGGCGCAAGTGCAAGATGCGCATCTTCACAGTGGCGCAGATGGACGACAACAGCATCCAGATGAAGAAGGACCTGACGACCTTCCTGTACCACCTGCGCATCACCGCAGAGGTGGAGGTGGTGGAGATGGTGAGGGCCAGGGCGGTGATGCAGGCTGCACCCTGGGACACGGGAGATCCTGTCCAGCCCTGCTGCAGTGACATGCAGTGCTGCAGGGACAGTGGGCTTGCTGGGCTCTGGGGACATGTAGCATCATGGGGACAGTGACAGAGGGACCCGCAGCACTATGGGGACAGTGACAGGGGTATATGCAGCCTATGGGGACAGGCAGCACCATGGGGACACAGCCGGCTGTGCAGTGGTGGCTGGGCTGGGCCAGGGAGCAGCGGAGCTACTGGTTTGGCCCTGCAGTGTCTCACGTCCTTCTCCTGCAGCATGAGAGCGACATCTCTGCCTACACCTATGAGAAGACCCTGGTGATGGAGCAGCGCTCCCAGATCCTCAAGCAAATGCACCTCACCAAGAACGAGCGGGAGCGGGAGGTAGGCTGCAGCGGGCCCATGGGTGCTGCTCCTGCGCCCGTCTCTACCACCCGCCCCCTGACCCCATCCCTGTGCAGATCCAGAGCATCACAGACGAGTCCCGAGGCTCCATCCGTCGCAAGAACCCGGCCAACACGCGCCTGCGTCTCAGCGTCCCCGAGGAGCAGGTCGGCGATGGCGAGGAGAAGCCAGAGGAGGAGGTAGGGGCCGCACGGGGGGTCCCGCCAGCCCTATGGTCCAGCCTGCACGCTGCCGCCCGCCTCCTCTGCCGCAGGTCCAGCTCATCCACGACAAAAACGCCACCACCTTCTCCAGCAGCTCCCAGTCCCCGGGCGACGAGGGCGAGACGGCCCCGGAGAAGGTGCATCTCACCTGGACCAAGGAGAAGACGGTTGCTGAGAAGAACAAGAGCAAGAGCCCCGTCAGCCCCGAGGGCATCAAGGACTTCTTCAACATGAAGCCGTAGGGTCCCACCCTGCCTGGCCACACGCCAGATAAAGGGGGTTGCGGGGTTTAGGGTGCTGGGGGCCATGGGCTCTTGCCACAAACTCATCTCCACTCTCTTTCTCTCCTGCTGCTGCCACCGTCACCCTGGGCAGAGAGTGGGAAAACCTGTAAGTGGGGCTCAGAGGGGTCCAGGGACCCGGGGACTCTGGGGACCCAAGTGGCCTTGTCCTCATCCCACACACGCTGTCCCCCCAGGAACCAGTCCAATGTGCGGAGGATGCACACGGCCGTGAAGCTCAATGAGGTGATCGTGAAGAAGTCCCAGGACGCCAAGCTGGTCCTGCTCAACATGCCGGGGCCGCCCCGCAACCGCAAGGGCGATGAGAACTGTATCCTTCCCTTGCCATGGGACCCTGGGGGGACTGGGCACCTCAGAGGCCCGGGGCAGCTTGCAGACACCGCTTGGACCTCTGCACCAGCGGCTGCAGCTGCACGGGCTGGCCAAGGCGCCGCGGTGCTGGGGTTACGTGCGGCGGCGCTGGGGCCACGTGCAGTGTGCGATGGGATGGTACTGGGGCCACGTGTGGCCACGCTGGGCCACATGCAATGGTGCTGGGGCCATGTGCGATGATACGGGGCCATGTGTGACACACTCGCATGCAGGTGCAAAAGTGCCTTGGCTCACTGGGCCAGGTCAGTCCCCTTTGCACAGAGCTGCTCCCGCTCCCCCATTCCCGGCTCACACGTGGCTCCTGCTGCCTCGGAACCTGCCCGTTCCCTCTTGGGAGAGACTGCCGACCGGGCTTCC